TTGACACCCAGGTCCAGCTTCCTCTCCCTCACTGCCCAGTGGGATTTTAGAGTTTCTCACCTGCGATGATAAACGTTGTTCATCTTAAAGACAAATGCATTCAGTAAGTTGCTCATGAAAATTCCCAGGAAGAACTGGGATGCTCAGGAGACCTGATCTCATCAAACACTGACCAAGGAAAGAGCCTCAGTCTTTCCCATGGCAGGGGATAAGAAAGGCCTGTGAATCAATGTGTTCTTCCAACACAAAAAAGCAAGGCTTCATCCACAATAGTCATGCATTTTCCACTTAAAATTGTGTCAATGTGATACATTAATAATATATGTGTACAATGTAAAATAAGTAAAAGTTACTATATAAGAAGAGTTGGTGAATAGTAAGTATACATATTGCTTAGTATTTTTAATTCCAATTCTAACATTCTAAGACCATGAATTAGGTTGAGTAGTGTATCTTGAATTCCATGACCCTCAGTATCACAACAAACTCCTGATATGATTGAGCCTCAGTAAAATGCTTGTTGAACATTTTTTATTATTAGGCTATAACAAAGAAAATTATAGAGTGACACTTATTACAATCTTGAGTCAAGTTATGATATAATTCACTTCTTTAGAAAAACAAACGCAGAGCCATGGATGGTGGCACATGGCTATGAACCCAGCACTTGGTGGAGGCGGGAAGGTCTGGAGGTCCAGGCTATCCTCAGATACAAAGTGGGTTTGAGGCTATCCTAGGCTACATGAGACTCTGTCTGAAAACAACAACAGCAACAACAACACAAACAAGACCCCCCACACACAAAACCAAAATCAAAGGATAGGAAAACATCCTTGAAGGAGTGGCCAGAGCCCCAGCTTGCTACTGACTAGACGCTCTGGACTATGAGTCCCAAAGATACTAAATAAGGCAGTCTGTTAGGTCATCTGCCTTCAGGACAACACTATTTACATTTTCTATGAAAAATTTTGGTGCCACTCAAATTTGTTCCTTCCACAAAATGTGTGTCTCTTCATGTGGTCCTTGGGAGTGTTCCAATCACAGACAGGCTCTGTTGACCGTGATTGCCAATGTTTTAAAGAGACAGGATTCACGTGAGCTGAACAGGAGAGTTGGGTTTATGTCAATCTTTCCAGCCACACCCAAATCTAGAGATAGTCACTGTCACCATTCTCCTGGAGTGGATGAATGATCAAAGGTTCCCTCTGTGGACACAGCTGATAAACAGCTAGGGCTGTGCACCTTGGAACCAAAGCCTTTAAGAGCAGGAGTAGATTGCATTCCCATTGAGGAAATTTGGGCCCAGGAATATTTCATACCGTACCACTGACACAGAATAATAGGCCAGTGTTCTGTCCACAATATTATACCCTCATAGTAGAATAAAACAATAATGTAATTATCCAGTGTATACAGTGACAAGTATTATGCTTAAATAAGCTATTTTCATAAGGTTCAAGTTCAGTCCAATAAATGATTGAAGCCCTTGTAGACTGACACTTGCTGTATGTCAGACAAGATACTAAGCACTTTACACGCATCACCTTATATATTATTCGGCTCTCCTATGAGGGATGTGTCCGTATAGCATCCCTTTTGCCAGGGAGCAATCTGAACTGGAGGGAAATTAAGAACTCAGCAAAATTAACTTGCAAGCTGGGAGTGTGGTGGGCGGGTGTAACGCTTGTCTGACATGCACCAAGCCCCAGGTTCCGTGCCCAACGCTGCATAAAACCAGGCATGGTAGTGCTTTCCTGTAATCCCAGCACTGGGGAGGTAGAGGCAGGGAGATCAGAAATTCAAGGCCATTCTCAGCTACATAGTAAGTTGGAGGCCAGCCTGAGCTACAGGACACTTCTGTCTCTTAGATAATTAATTTGTGAAGCCATGCTTTCCCTGATTAATGCCATCGCCATCGGCGTTGCATATGACAAATGGTATGTATTTGTGCCATTTTCCTTTGTAATAATCACTATCAAATTACTTGTTTTTCTCAGCATGAAACAAAATACAAAAATGCTTTTCTGCAACCTGTCCACCTCCTTCCCCCCTCTGACACACACATACAGACACCATTTGGAAAAGTCTATTCCCTCAGTCATGTGTCCCCTGAGAGGAGTCCATGGACGAAATGGAAAGAATATCCCCATTCCCACAGTAGCTAAAGCCTCTGGAGTTAACCAGGGCTTTTCATTCTGCATAAAACTCATCAGTAAATCCCTAGGGCTCAGTCTTCCAGCCAGTTCCCACCTCCCCCTGCTTCCCTGCTGTCACGGGAGTCTAATCCAACCTCAGCTCCTGATTTACCTTCCCCATATTCAGCTTGTTTTTATAAAAACAGCCCCCAGGACTCCTTGTGAACTGGTCCAAAGATCGCCTGGACCACTGAGAGCGAAGATGAGTCCTTCTAATGCCCGGGGAGCTGACACAGCCTAGCCACTCCTCTCTAACTTTCCATCACCTTACCCGTCTGCTTCTCCACACCCAGCCAGCCATCTTGTTTCTCCCTCCCCTCCTCAACATTCTGCTCTATGGGAAGCTGAGAGATGGCCACAACTACATCCATGCTAGTTCCCAGAAGTTGTGACTGTTACTCAATGTGGCAACACGGACTTGTAGATGAAACCAAACTAGGGCTCTTTAAATGATTCTATCATGGATTATTATTCAGTCCAATCTAATCATGCTTATCTTACCGGAGAGATGTAAGAGAAGGAGGGGAAAGAAGAGGAGGAGGAAGAGAAGGAGAAGGGAGAGGAGGAGGAGGAGGAGGAGGAGGAGGAGGATGTCAAAAGTATAGTCTGTGGCCTCTTCATAACATAACATTACTAAGACACAAGATGAACTTAAACAGCTTAAGTTCAACATCTGCCTTAGAGAAGGAGAGCTGAACAATTTAGGGGTCCCTTGTTACTCAGACAGTATCTCCTGTTGCTGGTACCAGCAAGAGACACCCACATTCCGTTTTCCTGCTACTCCTGTTTGATTCCAACCCCAAGGCCAGGATAATCTCCACAGGTATCAGCACTTTGCCAACTTTACAAATCATGTCTTGATGGACCAGTGAGGATGGAAATGACCCGCCATGTCTTGCTGCATGAAGTCAAGTGGATATTTCTGTCTTGAGAAGAAATACATGTAGTTTCCACTTCTTAGAAAGTGAGTTTGAACACTGTGATGTCATTTGAATGTGGACACAGGGACGGGCAGGTCGCTTGATGTCGCCTCCTCCGCAGAGCCTCTACTGGCTCCCCCTTGCTCAACTCAGCATCTCTGGAACACACACAGCACTCCACGGCCCCGTCCCTTACAACATGTTCACTGCCCTTCCATCCTGCCTCTTACAACATGGTGCTTGTTTCTCAAGAGCCAAAGTCACGTCTTCCACATCCCTTCTCCCCTAAGTGGTTGGCATGGTACCACCCCAGTGTGGAGGAAGCTCCATATGATCTTTTTAAAAGGTTGATTGAGGGAGACACAATACACAAAACAATAAAGTACAAAACAATGTATACTAAAGTATTCAGTTGACAAAGTTCATTTCACTAGAAGTACATTGGTAACTGTAAAGGAGGGAGGTTATCGTGGAATGGGGGTTTCATAGGTTCAAAGAGTAATGTTTTTACAAACAAGGCCTCAGGTAGCCTAGGTTAGCCTAGAACTATGTAGCCAAGGATGACCTTGGACTTCTGAACTTCTTGACTCCCCCTTCCAACACTAAGATTAGCTTTTCATGGCACTGGAAGTTTTATGTGATGCTAGGGTGGTGTAAGGTGCATGTGTTGACATGCACTTTCCCAACCTAGTCCTGAGAGGAACCATTTCTTTTCCTCGAGTGTGTATATGTGTGTATATGCACCCCACACACCACAGTGTATGTTTGGGGTGCCTACTTGTGCACCTGTGTGCAGGAATATGCATATAAAGGCCCAGGGCTGACATCGGCAGTCTTTTGGATTGCTTTCCACCATAGTCATTGAGGCAGAGTGTCTCAGTTGAACCCAGAGCTTGACCATTCAGCTGATCTTGCTAACCAGCTTGCTCCAGGGATCCCTTGTCTCTGCCCCATGAGCACTGGAATTATAGCTGGACTGCCATCCCCACCTGTCATTCCCATGGGTTCTGGAGATCTGAACTCCATCTCTAACACTTGAGCAGCTGGGCTTTAACCACTGAGTCATCTGTCCAACCTTAGTATTCATTTTATTAGCAAAAAATAGGAATATACGCAGATGTGTTGTCACTTGAGGAAATTCATTCAAAGGTGACCATTGGGTGCACTGGTGGAGCTTTGGAGAGGAGGGGTCTGCCACTCTGATTTGTTTAACTCTGAATCACTTCACATTTTGGTAATATTCATAATTGTAACCTTTATGACATTATCAATTTAATACAAAGGTCACCAAATGTTTTTTGTTTCGGTATCATAGGCATTAAATATTAACACATGGTTGGCATCTTGGTACTCCTGAAATTATTTCACATCATCAGATCTTGAGTTTTATTGGTGTTGACAGAGCAGACCTGATGACAGGCACAGCATTCACTGGCCAAGTACCTGAAGTGTGTGCGACCTTAGAAATGCAAGGGGGGACCTGAAGGGAGAAGACTTTCTCTCGCTGGCTTTGGTTTCATTTTTAAAAAATCCTATTGACAAAGGAAACTTAACCAAGCAGGAAAAAGCAGCTAATGTCTGCCACAAATGGAAAGATTTGAACAACAATTTCTGGTCACTCACTGAAACTCTTAGAAAGTGCTCTTCTTGTGGTTTATAGGAGTCGATAATTAAACACAAACTTTAAATGGAAACTTTCTAATTTGGATCATTTTTTGAGAAGTCCCGAAGCTATTCCAAAGGATCCACTTAATCATCTCTGCTCCGAGGTATGGATGGTGACCCACTCGCTAAGACATTGGATGTCGTCCCCTGGTCCACAGAGCAAAACAAAACACAGACCACTTCACCCTGTGTGGGTGTGCCTGTCAGAGGCAGCCCTTACCTTCACGAACAGGAAGATCTCAGGGCTGCTGGAAGCTGGTTTATTTTCTTCCAAACCAATAGCAGCAGCACGGCAGGTAGGGAGGAAGTCCTGGCTGATGGAAAAGTCTTTGCTGGGCTGAACTGTGAAACTCGATACATGAGGTACATCTTCCTCGATCATCCTTCCACTCCCCTGCCGCTCCCATGGGAGATGCTCTGGGTCCTGACTTGGTGAACGTGTGTCCCCTGTGGAGATGTCCCTGACTTCCTGGGGCTCAGAAAATACCTCATCACGCAAGAGGTAGCTCTCTGCTTCTGGCTCCGAGGAGGCTGAGGTGGCTTCTTCCCTTTTCAAGACGTATGCTGACACAGAGGCGTATTCCTGGTTTTCTAACCTAGTGGCACACAGATGGCTTTCACGTCCCAAGTCTTCGTGGACTCTGTCGTACAAAGGACCATCGTTTTCCTCCAGCTGGTCTGGACCCTCGTCTTTGCTCCCCTTTTGGATTGTGTCATAGATGTGGCTGTAATCATCATCGCTCATGTTGCTCGGTGTGGCAGATCCTTTCCCAGGCAGAGCTGAGCAGGAAGGGCTAAGGAAAGGGCCGGAGGAGGATGCTTCTCCACCACGCAAGGGGAATCAATGGGCTTTTGAAATGCAGCCCTGAGCAAGAGCTATCAATGACCGGTCTCTAGCAATCATTTACTGGAGATTTAATAAGCAAACCACAGGTCCACTGGACGGAAGATAAAGTTCACCCACTGGGTTAACTCCTTCAGTACTGAAGACACTTTCAACTAGTGGTTCCTCCATTTCCAGCAACTCTGAGAAGTCCAACTATCAACCCAGTCCAAGTCGAAATTCTGAACCTTTAGCCTCTCATCACTCATGGAGGAGCCCTCCGCTGCAATCACTCTAACTGCTGACCCATCCAAGAAACCCCCACAAGTCAGGGGAGAACGATAACTCAGTGTAAGCCTGCCTGCTTACAGCTGAATTCATCACACAATGATTCCTTGCAAACTGATGCCCTATGTTATGATTTCCACACAGCCCAGCGAAGTAACCGATTTCATTTACAGGTCTTATCTGGAAACACCAGGAGGTAATTAAATGGCTGAAGGCAAAGAAGATAAGTGCCTGTGGACCCATCAATACAACCACCCAAAGTGAGACTCAAACAGCTGTGCCTTTGGTTTTTATCCTGAGCCCTCACACTGAGCATGGTTCACAGTCAGCAGATACCCACTAAGATGTTCCCAAACTCAGGACTCTGAACTGAGCGCTAAACCAAAGAAGAAGATGCCTATCCTGGGAAGAAAAAATAAACCCTAACCGACACAGGAAAATGATATGACGTGTTAGGTGCACTTGCCCTTAGCCTGGGCTATGTCCTAGAGAGCTGTATGTGCAAGGCCACCCGTAGATGTCATCTGTAGACGCTGCCCATCTTCCTGTGTATGTGTGCTCTTTGTCCTGGAGTCTGCTGCCCTGTCCCTCTAAGGTCTGTTTCTACAGCACACCAGTTGACCCTTTCTGAAGTGAAATCCATACGAGTTGTCAATGAACTCTAATGCCCCCAAATCATGTCAAAAGTGACAAGCATTGCCGTCCTGATGGAATGGCTCCACAGCATTTGGTTTTGGTATGTTATAGCAACACCAATCTATATCCTGAGGATATAAGGAATCTCGAGCAAATCCAGCACTGAGGGCGGGTAAGTACTAGATAAGGGGAAGGGAGCCAGAGATAGATCTTCAAAAATAATGATGTGGCTGGGTGGTGGTGGTGCACACCTTTAATCCCAGCACTCGGGAGGTAGAGGCAGGTAGATCTCTGTGAGTTCAAGGATAGCCTGGTCTACTGAGCAAGTTCCAGGAAAGGCTTCAAAGCTACACAGAGAAACCTGTTTGGAAAAACAAGCAAACAAAAACCAACCAAACAAACAGAAATAGAATAATGATGGTAATTCTTTTGTTTATTGAGATAAGGGCTTACTCTGTGGCCCTCGATGGTTCAGAATATTTGTTTACACTGTGGAGATGTGTCTTTGCCAAAGCACCTTCTGATCGGTTTAATAAAGAGCTGAACAGTCAAGAGCTAGTCAGGAGATACAGGTGGGACTTCTGGGCAGAGAGAAGAAGTAGGAGGAGATAATCTGGTGCAGAGGAGATAACAGGAAACATGGAGAGGAAACAGGAGGTGCAAGATGGAAGATAGGTAACGCCATGTGATAGACTGTAGATTAATATAAATGGGTTAAACTAAGTTATAAGAAATAGAACAAGCCTAAGCTCTAGGCTGAGCTTTCATGATTAATAAGAAGTCTCTGCATCATTATTTGTGAGCTGGTGGTTCAAAGAAAAATCTGACTATAGTTATGTAGACCAGGCTGGCCTCAAACCCCTGAGATCCACCTCTGCCTTCCAATTGCTGGAATTAAATGCTTGTGCCCCTGAACCAGGGGATGCTAACTCTTTATCTTATTGAAATGGTTTAATGGGTACAGACATCTGTCAAATTATCTTATGTCTCAGAATTAGGTGTTCATAACCTAATGGTCCCAGCTCAAATTTTCCTCCATAACTTCAAAGCTTTTTAAAACCTTACAGACCATCTGTCTGACATTTTATTTCATATTTGAGATACAAAAAAAATGAACTCAGAAAGGGAAGCACATGTTCCAAGTTCACACAGGTAATGACAGTTGATATCAGCTATGATTCTCAAACCTCTAGCCTGGGTAGGGTGGGGACTTGGGGTGGAGAGATGGTTCAGCAGTTAAGAGCACTTGCTGCTCTTGCAGAAACCCAGGTTCAGTTCCCAGCACACACAGGATGGTTCACAACTATTTTTAAGCCCAGTTCCAGGGAATCTGTTACCCTCTTCTGACCTCCAAGGATACTGCATGCACATGGTACACATACCTCCATGCAGACAGACGCTCATACACATAAAATAAAATAAATCAAAATTTCAAACCCCCATCCATGTGATCACTCTGCTACTCAACGTCTTAGTGTTTCCAATTATTTTTTTCATGATCACCTTCTTATACTCCATCCCCAGAAAGAATGATTTTTTTTCCACAAATCAATTTTGATCTCTTCAGTGGTGACACTGTTCCTTTCTGAATGCATAGTACTTACTAAACAAAATGTGCATCTCTTCTTGACCATTCCGTGTTACTACCCCAAAGTAATGTTCTATAGTGTGTAAATATCTGTGTAGCTGGTGTTTTAACTGCTTTGCGCATTGCAGTGACCAAATACCTGACCAATAGCGACTTGTGAGGGGATGGGCCTGTCTTGGCTTGCAGTTTTAAGAGATACAGTCTATCCTGGCAGGGAAAGTGTGACCACTGGTCTCATTGCATCCACAAGAACAAGGCAGAGAGAGTTGACTGTTGATGCTCATCTGGCTTTCTCTTTTTCCTCCTTTTATTCAGTCAGATACACCGTTTCCTGGGATGGTATCGCCCAGATTCAGGGTCGGTTTTCTCTCTTCAGCTAAATTTATCTGGAACAAACTCACAGACAGGCCCAGAGGTACGTCGCCTAGCTTGTTCCAAGTCCAGTCAGTTGACAATGAAGACTGAATCATTGCTGCTTGTTATTGGATTCTCACAGTGACTCATGGGGGAGTACCCACGCCTGTTTATGTTTAGGATCCAAGGTCATGAAGATAGTGCTCCTCATCTAAGGACATCCTTGTCATGATGTATAGTCACAGGCTATAAAATGAAACAAAGCATTCTTTTGAAGGGCAAGCTGGAGCATGTCACTTTCTGTTCCCATCAGCAATGGTTCCCCGTTTTTATTAGTAAAATCAAAAGTCCTTATCCTAGCCCACATGATTTTCATAAATTAAACCCCTCCCCCATGCCTGTTACTGGCCACTGCCAGTCCCACTCTAGACAGCCTGGCTTTGTTGTCAACACTGGAACACTTACACATGAGAACCTTTATTTGTCCGTTGTTTCCAGCTGGAATATACTTCCTCTTAATTATCTATGATCAATTCCTCAAACTCCTACAGACTCTGCTTACATGTCCCCTTCTCAAGAAGCCTACTTTGACCATCCTGTTACAATCAGAGCAAGGCCCATGTCCATTTTGCCTATCACTGTAGATCTAAAGCCTTTTATATGTCTGACACACCCAAGAGATTATTTAACATTGGCTGAATAAATAAAATGGAAATATGTCCAGAATACATGTTCTGCCCTCTTTTGTCCCATTTGTATGAGTGTTATCTCATTGTATTACATTATGTCGTAAACTTAGCCAGAACAACCTCGGAGTCAAGGTCTATCACAATTTGGATGTAAAATGTTCCCCGTAGGCTCATGTGTCTGAAGACTTGGTCCTCAGATGGTGGCACAGTGTTTTGGGGAGGTTATGGAACCTCGCCAGAGGAAGTTAATATCTGGTGGAATGGGCATTGAGGTTTATAGCTGGCTACTTCCTGTCCCATCTTTATTTCCCATGGTCCATAGAATGTAAGAAACTAAGGCACAAATTGCCATCATCACAGCCAGAGTCCCAGCTGCCACAAGTCTGCCATTGTGAAACTGAGAGCTAAAATAAATCCTTGTTCCAAGTTTCTTCTTGTCAGCGGGACTAGAACAGCCGCTAGTACAGACTGGTTTTCTGCATTGCATGAACTTGATGCAACTTAATTGATGCAGGACTAGCAAATCGGGTAACACTGGGTCACTTTAAACTAAAAGGCATCACTTAGTAAACTAAAACGCTGACGTATGACTTTATCACCACCCAAAACACTGTTCGAACTGACTTTGAGACTTGCCAATTTTTAAAAATCATTTATTTTTATATTATCTGTATGAGTCTTTTTCCTGCATGTATATCTGTGCACCTCTGCATGCAATGCCTGCCGAGTCCAGAAGAGGGCATCAGATCCCCTGGAACTGGAGTTACAGAGGGTTGTGAACCGCCACGTGGGTTTTGAGACCTGATCCCAGGTTCTGGGCAAGAGCAGCAGTGCTCTTAACTACTGAGCTGTGTTACTTGTCTCCAAACTTCACAGCGTCCTTTACAAGAGCATAGCCATTAAAAATCAACGCAGTATATGTGATGTATTTAGCACCTGAGGTGCTATCCCCCCTTTTTAAAGATTCTACTTTTTTTTTTGCTTCAAAATTACTAATTAATGATTTATACCTTTTATTTGTATCTCAATCTTATTATGAATTTAGCAGTTTTAATTCTCTTTTGAGAGGCCTTTTTGGCTTTGTTAATTATTTCTAAAATGTATTTCTGTGCAAATTCATTCATTTCTACTGTGGTGTTTATTATCTGTTTTCTTCTCTCTTTTGTTGTATTTTACTGGCTTTTAAAAACAAACTCCAAAATCATTGTGATGAGTTTTTCAATCACTGTTATTTCTCTTTTTGTCTTTTCTAATGAGACTATTTGAGCTTCTGCCAGTTGGGTCCGTAGCATAGCCATATGCTGATGGGCATTAACTGTGGAAGTCGTGGCTTTCACACAACTGAAATCATGATGGGTCCCAAACTC